GGTACCTGTGCAGAAGGACCAAGCTACGTGTTTTCATGCCCTGATAATACCAGTTTTGCTATACGGTAGTGAAACCTGGGCATTATCTAGTGCCTTGGAGTCTTGTCTTGATGCCTTTTGTAATAGGTCTTGCATGGGATCTGGGAACTGTTGGCGGGACCATGTGCCCAACCAACAGTTGACCGTGAGACTGGCACAAAGACCTGTTATCTGCACAATCCGTGATCGCCAAGTCGGGCTATGCGGCTACCTTTGCTCGCTTTCCTCAGGATGATCCTGCCCATCAGGTTGTCTCTGTTCGAAAGAACTCTGGGTGGAGGAGGCCTGTGGGACGACCTAGGAAGTTGTGGCTTGGGCAGATCAACCAAAAATGTCATGAGTCCTGCCTGGCGGCTTGCCATGAGGGACCCTGTAGATGGAAACAAAGGGGATGCAGCTATGTGCCCATCAGCATTAGCTCCATGATGATGATATATGTGCATTCATTTTCATTTTGTAATTATTTATTGTTTAGTCATGTAGACAGAGAATTTCATGTCCATTTATTAACCCAATATCATTATTATTCATGTATTATTATTATTATTGATTTTTTTTTTTTTTTACAGATCTATGCAATGAAATTACTGAGCAAAAATTGAGATGATCAAAAGGTCTGATTCTGCTTTTCTGGGAAGAACGAGACATTATGGCTCATGCTAACTCAGAATGGATTGTTCAGCTGCATTTTGCCTTCCAAGATTCAAAATTTCTTTACATGTCATGGATATATGCCAGGTATGGTTGGTTGTGTGACTGTCTGCTCAGTAATCTTTGATCTGGTTTGGAATCAGGGTTTGGATCTTTGAGTGTAGTAATTTTCTGATTTTCCTTTTATGTTATTAGTAATTCCTAATTGATGATAGAGATTAGATCTATGTGAATGTTTTATATAAAAAGTTACCGCTTTTACAACAATCCTTTTTCAATGTTTTAAATTGATTAAGAGTTCCTAAGTAATGTAGACCATTAAATTTAGATATACAAACCTTTGTACTAAACATCACCTGTTTGTAATAACTTCCTCCATCTCCTTGATAGAAGCCTTTAAAAGAAACCTTGTAAATTTTTGTGTTGTTGTTCCGGCATTACTGATCTCAAAAACACTGTAATTGTGAAATGTTTCCCATCATATCCCTTTCCCCAAGGTTTCCAATCAACCTTTTCAAGAGAACATAACCAGTAGTAAATAAATGTGCTTGTTTTTTGCATGTTTATGTTTAGGATTTTTTATAATTTTTTTTAGTTAGAATTACCTTTACTTTTTAGGTGGTGACTTAGTGAACCTGATGTCCAACTATGATGTACCAGAGAAATGGGCCAAGTTCTATTGTGCAGAAGTGGTCCTAGCCCTGGACGCAATCCATTCCATGGATTTGTTCACAGGTTAGGGATAGTTGACTTTTATAGTAATGTTTTTTCTTCCTCTTCATTTTTTATTTTGCGTTGTTTTTTACTGTGTTTAAATTGAATAAAAATTTATTTTCTACTTAGCTCTTAATTCATATTTTTTCTTTCAGAGATGTAAAGCCAGATAACATGCTTCTGGATGGTAGTGGTCACCTCAAACTGGCAGACTTTGGTACTTGTATGAAGATGGATAAGGTGAGATCCAAAGTATAATGGACAAGTGCGACGAATGTTTGTCAGAGAGTCATCCTTTCTGTCACTTAACCACTTGCCGCGGGATGGCATGTGCATACATTTAAAAAAAAAAAGTTGTACTGAAGCGGAATGTAGTTGGAAAAAAAATCCAGATAGTATTTTATTTTCTGTATATCTCCTCTTCAGAACATAATCATAAAACCAGTGATTGTGGTTCCCTTGCCTTCATCTCCTCCTCTCTTCCTCAGGACGGACTCGTAAGATCAGACACAGCTGTGGGAACACCAGACTATATCTCTCCCGAAGTCCTCAAGTCACAGGGTGGTGAAGGGGTCTATGGAGAGAGTGTGATTGGTGGTCTGTTGGTGTCTTCCTCTATGAAATGCTAGTGGGTGACACGCCCTTCTATGCGGATTCTTGGTTGGCACCTACGCAAAATTATGGATCACAAAAATTCACTAAAGTTTCCGGATGATATTGAAATTTCCGTTGATGCCAAGACTTTGATCTGTGGTTTCTTGTCTGACAGGTAAGGAATTGTGATAATTGTGCTGGAACTGATCCCTATGTGATATGATAAGGTATTCAGTTATTTTTACATATGAAAACAGATATTTATTTTTATTGATAGTTTTAACTCTTACAATTTATGTACTTATAATTGATATTCTCCTTTCCAGATTAACAAGATTAGGTAGAAATGGTATTGAAGAAATAAAATGTCTTCGATTCTTTCTCAATGATCAGTGGACATTTGACACAATTAGAGAATGTGAGTTAGTGTTTTCATTTATTTTTGATCTTATCATTAATCAAAAAATGTTACATAAAAAGACATTTCTCAAAAAAAAGCAGCTTAAGTTCCCTCTTTATAGTCTATTGCCAGTATGTTGAAGACCCATTGCAGTAATATTCATTATGAACTAATAATCTGATGGAAATATGGTATGATGTACATGTTTTCATGATTTTGTATGGGATGGAGAAATCTATTCTTTCTTCCATAATAGGTGTACCCCCTGTTGTGCCTGACCTCGCAAGTGATGACGACACTAGTAATTTTGATGAAGTGGAGAATGAGGACACTCCTGAAGAAAGCTTTGGAACCCCTAAAGCCTTTGTCGGGAACCATCTACCATTTGTGGGGTTCACTTACTCCAGGGATTACCAGTATGTATTCCGTACTGATTTTCATCATCTCTGCAATTTATTTGTATGTTTTACAGACGTGTCACTTCAGGAAATGTGTAGATATTTGATTATAATATGGCAAGAAGTTATTCTTATTATCATTATTATTATTATATTATTATTATTATTATTATTATTTTTTTTAATTATTATGAATTACAGATAATTATGTTAGATATTTTGAAATATATAGCAATGTGATGTACAGTTAGCTCAAGATATTTTTGGCAGCATTCTTATCTTAGAATATTGTTTATAGGATATCTTTTTGCTGATTAAAATTTAATAGGAAGTCTTGGTTCATTTACTCTTGTCATATCTGGAATTTTCATAACTAAGCTTGACCCCCCCCCCCCACTCTCTTTCTCTCCCCCTTCCCTCCCCCTCCCCCTCTACTCTTTCCTCCTCTCTCTCTCTTTGCTCTTGCTCTATATTGCCTCTCAGTATAGATCTGGAGGCAAGAAAAACTTATTGGAGATTATACAAAAAATATTGCTGTTGCTATGTTTTCGGTGAAAGAAAAGAGATAAATGAACACATAGATTAATATATGGAAATTCATCCTTACAGACTACTCACTTCTTCAGACAAGACTGATGGCAAAAGAAATTTGGTAAGTTACATCTTGTTCTTTTGGGTTTCAATAATCATTCTCTTAAAAGGCAGCTTTCATTGGGAATCTTGCAAGGAAAATACTTGCACATATTGCATACATGTATAGATATTTATACATGTTGGCAATTCTTCATAGAAGAACTCAGGACAGGTTGCAGTTAATAGAATTAAAGCAAAGGTTGTATTATACTTTGGATAACCAAGCTCTACAAATAATTTTTAGTTGTTTAGATATATTAGTGAGTGCGTGCATGCATGTGGGGTGGGTGTGTGCGAGTGTGTGCATGGGTGTGTTTGTGTGTGAGGGGGGGGGGGAGTGAAAGTGAGTGTGTGGATATACATATGCACATGCATTTGTATGTGTTTGCTTTTTGAGCACGCCCCTACATGCATACATATGTATGCATATGAGAGAGAGAGAGAGATAGATAGATAGATTGGGGGAGAGGCAAAAAGGGTACAAAAGAAAATTAGTTTTACATATATGAATGTTCAGTCTTTTTTATTGTAAGTATTTTTTTTTTTTCCAAAGTATTTATTTCAACAATAGTTTATGTAGAATGCCAAAAATACGTATATAAAACAAAATTTAGATAAAATATAATCTAAAAGCTATAAGATAATATTTACATTTTCTCAAAATTATAATTATTTTGTAAATTTGATCTAAATGGAATGAGATGTTATTGTTTTAGGCTTCCTTGTTCCCTTTAGATTTTTTAAGATGTTGGTAGATGCTTTAGTTGTCATCCAAGCTTTCGACGTATCTGGTTTTTAGGTTAAATTCTGTCTTTTTTCACCTATTTTTACTATTATTTTCCCAGATATATAATGATTCTCAATATAATTTTATGCTCCATGTAAGTTAAAAATGCTTGTCCATGCAGGTTATGTTAAAAGTTCATGATACATGAAAATTCAATATTGTGAAGAAAAGTCCTCAGTAGAAGTAATGAGACAACTGTCTTATACAACAAGGGTACATAAGATGTATCAATTTCAAGTATGCAATACTGCCAAAGGGAAGAAGCTATAACTTTTGTTAGACTAATATTAGATTTAAATCTCCTGCCTTAGCTTCAACTAGTATTTTATATGACATAGCAAGTTGCCGTATTTGGGTTACTTCCTCTTCCCTATCGTTCAGGAATTATAAACTCTGATTTTTGATTGAATTGAATCGAAATCAGACATGCCTTTGGCATTGCACAGTTAGGTAGTTCAGGTTGATTGTTGGTAAAGCTAGACACTTTGAGTTACCGTCAGCTACACAGCCTCCCATGTAGTTTCATTTAGTTGTGTGTGTCTGTCTGTCCGTCCGTCCGTCCAAGCTAGCATTTTGAATTGTATTCTGATTCCATGATAGTGTTTAATAGACGTTTGTAACATGGGTACCAGGGATTCTTGTTATTTGTCATTCATAGGGACCAGAAAAATACAACAAATAACAATTTGATGAATATAGAGATATACAGTATCCAATAGGTATACATTATTAAAGGGTGTAGTGTGGACCAGACTGTAATGTCTAGTGGTTTGATCAAGCATATAGTTTATTTGTATATTCTTGAAATGATACCAAAGAGACTATTCAGAAGAGAAATGCCAGCGATGATTATTGTAATAATGGTGTTACAATTACTCACATGAGCTCATATTGGGGGTGACCCCTCATCTCAGTGCATGGCAGAAGCAACAGGAATGAGGGTCAGGCTGTAGATGGTTAGATGAGAGAAGAGCATCATTTTTTATATCATCCATCTTTTCTTCATTTTCAACTTGGCTTCTTGCAAAAGAATCAGAAGTGGTTGAGCTGTGCATTTACCACTTTTATTCCTTTTATTATATCTGTCTTGGCTAGTATCATCACGACACATTACTGCTTAGCTTTAGCTAGGTTTATATCAGCAATTAATTATTAATGAGTCCAGGTGTTACATCAGTGATACCATTCCTTTTTTGGTTGGCTGGAAAATAGACACGCACTGTTCATGTAAACTGTAGTTCTCATTAGTACCATGCAGAAACTTTTTCTGGTATTTGTATACATATTCTAAAATTCAAGTTTGGAACTTTTTATTGAATTTTACATTGTATTTTATTATTATTATTATTTTTATTATTATTATTATATTATTATTATTATTATATTATTATTATTATCATTATTATTATTATCATTCTTCTTCTTATTATTATTATTGTTGTTGTTGTTGTTGTTGTTATTATTATTATTGCTTTATTATGAATTAATAGTTGAATGACAAATAAAGAGGATCCCCTGTACTCATTTTTGTTTTAGGTAGGAGGGGGGTGATATAAAAAGAGAACCCTACCTTTTCTTGTTCCCCAGATTGCACATTTAGGCCTGGGCAAAAATACATTTCCCAAGTCAGATAGATAAGGCTAGTGAAATCCAGGTTATGCTGAAAATTAGCACCGTATAACATTGTAATGTACATTGAACAAAATTGCAATAACAAAGCAATCCTTATGATTTCTAGAAATAGCAACTAAACTATTCCTCATGTCATATAAGGCTAATGAGTATATCATTTTGTTCATACCATATACTTAATGTAGAAGGCAAGAAATATAAAGTATTGGTGATTATGATGTTAAAGCATATGATGAAAAGTTTTTTTTCTCTCTTTCTCTCTTTTGTAAAGATTCTATTTGTCATTTGATTTACTGTATCAGGATGCTCTTTGCAATAACAGTAAATAACTTTTTCCTCTCTCTCTCTCTCTCTCTCTCTCTCTCTCTCTCTCTCTCTCTCTCTCTCCTCTCTCTCTCTCTCTCTCTCTCTCTTCTCTCTCTCTCTCTCTTCTTTCTCTCACTCATTTCTTTCTCCATGATATTCAGTTTCTGTAATACACCTTGTACTGCTGGTCACAGTGGGTAAGAATAGGATCATGAGCATGGAAATAGTGTCCTCCAGAAGCCAGGAGGTATTTTCACACACAGTTATTTGCAAAATGATGCAAGAGCCCCTCCAAGAGTTTTGTGCGCTCATGGCAAGTCATATCTGTCAACTCAATCTTCAGTCAAATTTTTGTGACGTCATATTTGACTCAGTCATATTTTTCCGCGGCAGTGTATTCCTATCACCTGGTCCCCAGCCAAATTTTTTTCATGATGTGAAGGTCAACTGAAAAGGATTTAGGACAATGAACATTTCAATGTATCAATTGATGTAGTATTGAAGATTTTGAGTTGATGACTTGTCTCTTGATTATTATGGAAACATTTTTCTCTCTGATTATAATCAGTGAAAATCATATATTTGAAATTGCTTGGTTTTGATTGTGCTGACCTCTGCAAAAATATTTGATAGCTTTCCATTTGTTAGTGCAAAATATATTGTTGTTTGTGTTATGGCTTGTATTTAAATCATCACTTCTTTTTACAATATTTATTACCTTCCCCCAACAAAATAGAGCAAAGAAATTAACTCAACTTACTTAGATAGTTACAGACACTTGTTGCTCCAAGGTTACTGTTCTTGGGGAATCCTTGGAGCAGGTGAAATTGTCTTACGGAAATTACAAGTCCAGAGAAGTTTACAAGGTGCGAGAGGTTCCAGAGTGGTGTGCTTGCTTTTTGATGCACTGTTGTGTATTTCTTATTTCCTTGGTTATTTGGAGAAAACTAACCAAAAATACCTGATATTGATATAAATATTTTACCTTGGCTTCATAACCTTTGCATTATAGATATATAGATGGATAAGTATAGATCATTGGCTTACATCTGATGTTTTGGTGTGGGATTTTTGGCCAAAGGGAAACAAAGAAGAGACAAAGCACAGGAAAACTTGGCATCAGGACTTGAAAACCACTCTTGATGAAACACTGTGTCTTCCTTTTCCAAGCACAAAATAAGTGTTGTATATATTACCTGTAGGCACAGCAGTTGTTGATTTAGAATTGGGTTTCCAGTATTATTGCCTAATAGAACAGAATCAAGTGCCTTTGTTTAGCATGTGAATATTCTGATCTTTGATTTGCAGCAGTAATCATCTTTCACTGGATTGCCTTCAGTAGAGTATGTTGAGCTGCACATTGGTGTAAAGTCATGTTTTTTTTTTCTGTTTTATTAGTGGAGCAATGCATATTTATTATTTTATCTTGTTTGATCATATTATACAAGTGTATTTTTGTGTGTAATTTATTTTATTTTATCAAAATACTTTACTATATGCCATTTTACGTAGGTCATAGTGGTTGGTGTGAAACAGAAGTATAGTATAGATGCTTTTCTTTTCTTTCTTTCCATCTCTCTTTTTTTTCTCTCTTTCTCTCATCGCTCCTCTCCTTCCCTTTCCTCTTCCCTCTTTTCTGCTCCTTTGCTGTCCTTTCTTTATTTGTCATCTCATTTCTGACCTTGTATTCTGTTTGACCACCACACATAACGTGATTCTCCTAGATTCTCCACGGATCGGATATACTTGAAAGAGCTACGTCAAAGTCATTGCCTTTGGATTGTAGGATTAGGAGGTGAAACCCTTCTTGACATGTTATTATTAGATTTAAAAAAAAAATCAAAATATTAATATTGTTATTTTTATTGTTATTGTTATTATTAGACTATCATTATTATTATTACTATTACTATTACTATTATTATTATTATTTGATTAGACGTATTATTATTTCTATTTTTTTGTATTATTATTATTATTATTATATGTTTTTATTATTGTTATTGTTGTTCTTTTTTCAGTTGTTTGCTATTATTATTATTATTATTTATTATTATATTATTATTATTATTATTATTGTGATATTATTATTATTGTTGTTTATTTCATTATTATCATCATTCTATTATTATTATTATTATTATTTATTATTAATTATTATTTTATTATTATTATTATTATTGCTGTATTACTCTTATTCACTTTTTATTGTACACAAATAAGTGAGAAAAACTTTAGCTTTAAGTTTTATGGAAGCCAGGAAATTTGTAGGAAAGCAAAAGGAAAGTAAAATTTTTCTGAACATTCAATAATAGTAGGCTTGATTTCTGTAAGCATAAAGTAGTAAGCTGTAGAAGTCATAGTTGATATAATGATAATTATTGATATGTGGCTTTGCAGTTTCTTGACTACACCTGATGTGCAGGAAAATCATATACACAATTGTTCACTAAATTGCAAGTTTATCATAAGTTGTAGTATTTCTGGAACTATTCAACCATTTTTAATCGTAATGAAATGACTGAATAGCAAGAAGTAATGTGATTGTCACACAAAATGGATTGCCTCTTGCAAACCCCTCCTGCTAGAAAGTAATGAATTCTAGATATTAATGTCAATGTTAATGGCATAACAGCACATACTTCCAGGAACTTTGTTGTCACTTTCAATGAGAAACAGTGACTCTAAATGGGGAGCTGATAATGAGAAGTTCTGAAATTTCAACTGAAATGCCACCCAAGATTATCATCGTATCATTATCCAGGCTTTCACATCGTCAGTTACCAGCTGTGTCTGATGTTGACTAAACCTCAGTAATTTTATACTAGTCTGGTGAAGCATCAGGTAGCATTAACATTAATACTTAAGCAGAGCGTTACCTTTCCTACCTTGTAACCATTATTGTAAAATCTGATAATTAGCACTTTTTCCAACAGAACACATTGATTTGGAATTTATTGAAGGCTATGCTAGCTAGCCCACACTGTAGCCAGTTTGTTTACTGCACGCTATTTCTTATCCACCCCTCTTTATTGGTTCCCCCACTTCTTGCAACCCCTCCCCACCCACTTTACGCACATGCAGATATGCACACTCATTTTTCTCTCTCTCTTTCTCTGTTTTTCTCTTTTTCTCTCCTTCTCTCTTTCTCTGTTTTTCTCTTTTTCTCTCCTTCTCTCTTTCTCTGTTTTTCTTTTTTTTCTCTCTTTCTCTCTCTCTCTTTTCTTCTCTTTTTCTCTCTTCCTCCCTTTCTCATACTCTCCTTCTATTTCTCCTTTTTTCTTTTTTTTTCTCTCACTTCTCTTTCTTTACTTCTTCTTTTCTTTTCTTTCTCTCACTTCTCTTTCTTTTTTTTCTTTCTCTATCCTTCTCTCTCTCTCTCTCTCTTTCCTCCCTCCCCCCCCTCTCTCTCTCTCTCTCTCTCTCTCTCTCTCTCCTCTCTCTCTCTCTCTCTCTCTCTCTCTCTCTCTCTTCTCTCTCTCTCTCTCTCTCTCTCTCTCTCTCTCTCTCTCTCTCTCACGCACACACACACACACACACACACACACACACACACACACACACACACACACACACACACACACACACACACACACACACACACACACACACACACACACACACTCACACACACACTCACACACACACTCACACACACACACACACACACACACACACCACACACACACACACACACACACACACACACACACACACACAGATACTTTATTGTAAGCTTGATTTATAGACATGTAGAATTTGTTACTATAGACTTTGTTCACTTTCTTGTCATTATGAAGTTGATTAACTTAAGGACCACTGCAGATAATCACAGCCCACTTTGATACTGTGTCCATTTTGTTATTAGGGTTTCCCCATAAAAAGAAAAAATAAAGATATTATTGAGGATGATAGTTTTTACCCCTTGTATTTAATTCTGGATAAACCAATTATTGTATGTCAATCAAGGCATTGGAAAATTAATGTCTAGGCTAATTTTGGAAAAGTTTTTGCTGGAAAATTTAAAGTCAGAGACAATAAACTACCTATGTAGTGTGTAGAACAGAGAGTAGCTCCAATCATCATAGTATGGATAGGTGTCGTCCGATATTGGGTTCACCCTTGCCATAGTTTATATTCCACCTGAAGTTGGGACCCAAGTTTCTCAGTTTCTCTTCCATTGATAACACACAAAGAGATTATTGTACACTCTAGTAAATTGGTAAGTTTCATGAGAGTGGTTGCTTTTATATTGTTTACGTCAAATGTAAAGAATTGAGAGATCATTCATTCCTTTGATACATAATTACATAAACATTAACTGCACATCATCTTCACCTTCACTTGTAGGAATATGAAACATGAATGTATTAAGAAATGTAGCTGATATTGCATAGATGTAATATTGGCTAAGGTATGTTTTCCTTATTTTGTAAAACAAGTTCGGTCTCTGACATCCACACTATTCCTTCTAACTTAAAGTTTGGTGTCTTGCACAATCTTGTAATATCATAGTTTGATCAGCCTTGTACTTTAGATTTCAGTAGATCTTTTATCCTGTAGTTCTTTGCACAGAAAGCTGAAGATGTATTTGCAAGAAAATCCTGGTTGGCCAGTGGTGCTGCTTTTGAGGTTTCTCCAGTAAGAGTAAAAACTTTTTCAAATTGAGCATTCATGATCTTTTCTAGTTCAAGTGTATTTTAGTAGTTTAGGTGTTTATGAGTTTTAAAAGCTGTTTGAAGTTTAGGAGCTCTGAAGTCGCAGCAGCACAATAACCAACCTAGAGGACTTTTTGTGATTATTGGATCTCAATAAGTTGACCATCTCAGTATTTAAGTTGAACCCAGTGTTGTAAATCCAGCACATGACACTATATATGTATTCAAAATGAAACAAATGAAACCACTTCCTGTTTGTTTGCCTGTTTATTTAGGCTATACATGATTTATGAGGGAAAATGGATCCTGGTTGACTGATGCTCTGAATCACAGCATTGGTCTTTCATTCTTTAACACACTCCATCAACTTGAATTTGGCATTGTGTACACTGTGACAACCATCCAAATAAGTTCCAGTTTGTAGTCAGTTTGATTTTTCTTAATTATGGACTTATTTTTGGCACTTTTTATTTTTATTTTTTTTCTTGCTGCATGAAGAAATAATCAGTTTGTGTATGTTGATTTGTTATACCCCCTCCATCCCCCTTGAATGAAATTAATGAGAGTACTCATGTATATCAAAGGTAATTGTGTTATTTATTTTGGAAAGTTAAACAATTGTTTTAAATACAAACAGTATTTATTGTATGCCTTGCTAATCTCTTTATCATATTATTACTTGTGCATAAAAAATATTAAAAAAAATGTGTAATATATTTATATTTGTTACATGTAATCAAATTTATATATACAGACATACAGTGAATACTTTTTTTGGTATAGTGATTAAGATATTGATAAGAAAGTGTGTAGTTGCTTTAATTGAAATTTCTTTCAACAGGCAAGTGATGGTATGGATAGCAGTAACGAGATTGCTGTGCTGACAGCAGAATTGGAACACCAGAGAAATCAGGTGGAGCTAGACTCCAAGTACAGAGTGACCCTAAACCAGCTGGATTCACTCATACAAAAGGAGCAGGAGAGACTACAGGAGAAGAGAGATCTAGAACGAAAGTTGGCTTTATTACAACATGACCTCAAAGAAGCTCAGAGAAAGGTAGGTGTGCTATTGCCATCCTATTGCATATTTATATATCTGTGTGTTTAGGTGCACTGGAGCACTGTCTTAGCCCATCCTCAATGGGTAAAATTTTAAACAAAGTTTAGCAAGGCTAAAGTGCATTCATGCATGCTACTCTGAGCCAGACGATATTATCCAACTCCCAGCCAGGCTCCTGAAGCATCATTCCAGCTGCTGGGGCCTGGGTTCATGACATGATTATACATCAACCAATATATGTGAGTGAAAACTGAGATATACCTTTGAGACTTAGAATTATTACTCCTATGAGGAATTAGTAACACTGTAGGGTTTTGTGCCATAATTATGCAAATCTGATTTTTCCTTTTCCTCAGGGGGAGTATGAAGGTGAGAGTAGACGGAAGCTGGATGCCCTATATCAGGAGGTTAAGAAAAAGCTCGAAGATGAACAAAACAAACGCACTAGGGACCTGAACTCTGCGCAACATGTCAGTGACAAGCTGAACTCTCTTGAAAAGCAGGTATGTTTTATAAGATTTTGACTGTTACATTCTCTGAGATTGCTTTCTTCTTATTATTGGACCTTGTGATTCATTAGAAGTATCCAAGTATAGCAAAATGTTAGCAGTTATCCTTTAATAGCGCAGTAACTACCATTTACAACATACACAAATACCCCATATTAAATTTATAACTCTTGTTTTCAGATAAAAGAAGTTCAGGACAAACTGAAGGTTGAGACAGACAACAACACAAGATTGCGTAAACAAAATGCAGAGCTAACAGTCATGAACCAGCAGAAGGAAACGTCCATTTCTGACCTCTCAGATAAGATATCAAGTGTCCAGTCCATCCGTGATGCGTTAGAGCGTGATATAGCAAACCTTGGAGCACAGTTAGAGCAAGAGCGTGGGCAGAGGAACCACCAGACTGAGTTGATCTCACAAGCTGATGGCAAAATTCAAAGTCTACAAGCGAAGGTGAGTAGTTTCATTTAATTTGTATTACCTCAAAAAAGAGAGTTGTTTTTTTTGTTATTTCAGAAAACATTACTTTTGAATAAAGTTCTAAATCAGAGAAATTAATATTTTAAAATTTTTACAATGATTTGGGATAAAATGTATTTTTTTGATACTAAAACACAAGGATGATTTTATAGTAAGGGAAAAATAGAAAATTAAAACATTCAAAATCATTTGACAGATAGAAATATATATGTATTCATTATTCCAGCTTGAAAATGCATCTGAACGTGAGCAAGTTGCCCGCAAGGAAGCAGAAAAGGTTTCCGAACGTCTTGTACAGTTAGAGAAAGATAGAACATCTCTAGAGTTGGAATTAAGAGGGATGACAAGCAGATATGAGCAAGAAGCTCGGGCCCTACGCGAAGCTAATGCTGCCCCCACACACAACCACCAATCTAGTGCACAGGCTCTAGCAGGTAAATTAGTTTGAGTGTATTATTGCAGTCTGTATGTATTACAGTGTATCCCTTGGTTTACAATTTACATACCTTATAGGTGTGGTATTTATGCATTTATTGATATACCTGCTTATGTATTCCTATTTATATATACTTTTTTACAGCTTTGCAGGAAAGGCTCAATTTGGAGAAGCAGAAACGCCAGCAAGCAGAGGCATCTAGTCAGGAGAAGGAACGTCAGAACTCTATGTTGAGCGTTGACTACCGGCAGCTCCAGCAACAGCTACACAAGCTTGAAGGGGAGCACAGGAAGGAGTGCGAGAAGGTGGGAATTTTGTTTAGTATTTAGAAATAATTTTTAAAAAAATATTTGGTTAAATTCATATTTTTTTGGTCTTATAAATTTGTCCGTGTTATGTACACTTTATCTTTGGACAGGAATAGAATGGTTCAAGTTTTCATCTTTACCTTTCATATTTACATAAGTTTATTTATTTGTGTCCTTTACCAGGTCAAAGCTCTTCAGAATCAGATGGAGACAGAAAGTGAAAAGAGAACGGCTATCGTTACTGACCTCCAAACTCAGTCATCAGAGGTATCTATGTTGCGCACAAGAGAAAAACAGTTGGTGCGTGACCTAGAAGAAATGAAGGAAGCGCGGTCTAGTCTAGAAGAGGAGCTGCACAAACTCAAAACCCAAAAATCAGTTGACGATGTGCAGATGAGAGAACTGCAAGACACCCTTGAGGCTGAGCAGTACTTCTCTGTGAGTTTTTTGCATTTGTTTGTTGTTTCTTTCTTTTCTTTATGATATATATATATATATATAATATATATATTATATTATATATATATATATATATATATATATATATATATATATATATATACATATATACGTACATATATAATATAAATGTAATATATGTATATAGTATTTATAGAATATGTATATAATATTTAGCTCTTTTAAGAGAAGCTAACAAGTTTATCACTCCAAAACTGTTTCCCTCCCACAGACATTGTACAAGACTCAGGTACGCGAGTTGCGTGAGGAGCTGGAAGAGAAGGGCCGGCAAATCCTGGAACTGGAAGAAGAACGTACAAGTCTAACACAACAGTTACAGCTTACAGTAGCCAGAGCAGACTCAGAGGCCTTGGCGCGTTCCATTGCTGAGGAGACTGTTGCAGATCTTGAAAAAGAGAAAACAGTTAAGGAGCTGGAGATCAATGACCTCGTATCCAGACATACTGTTGATATGAATAACAAAGAGACTGCCTTTAATGCTGTAAGTGATCAGAGAAGTCTTTTATAGTTTGCAAACCTTTTCTTTCTGCAGGTTTTAATAATATCTATCATCTCAAAATATGTTTCAGATATTGAATATTCAACCTCTTGTGATTTATAATGTAATATTCTTTATTATGCATTGGATTAGCTTATTATACAGTGCCAAAGGATTAAGATCTTGTAGATATTCTACATGGGATATCAGTAAAATGTGTAAGCAATAATGGTCTTTGTCTTTGTTTACATTGCTTAGATTGAGATGCTGCTAGCTTTGTTTATTACATTCTTATAAATTCAATAGGTCAAGGAGAGAGAGGAAGAGCTTACAAAGTCTGTGGAAGCACTTAAGAAGGAGAAGGAAGCCCTTAATTCTCAGATCCAAAGCCTTGAGGAAGGTCGGTATACTTTTCAGTTTTTATATTAGTAAAACTAACAGAAGTTCAATTTCTGAAAAACAATTCTTACGTCTTTTATATCAAGTGTTGATGTGATCTTGATGGTGTTTTTCTCATGTTTTGTATATTTCCCAACAGCAAAGAAAACTGCAGATAACGATCGTAAAAATGAACAGGACAAACTTAGTAAACAGTTGAAGCAGGAACAGCTCCTCAAGATGCAAGCAGTCAATAAGTTAGCAGAAATAATGGCTCGCAAGGAGAACCTTCCAGCAAATCGTAAACCTAAAGCCGCTGCCATTGACCTCAGAAAGAAAGAGAAAGAATGCCGTAAATTGCAGCAGGAACTCACCATGGTACGTAAAATGGAAAATGTTCCTTCTATGTAATTATTGGGTTTAACTGGAAGATTTTTGAAAGCGTGATAAAGAGAAAGGATAACAGTGTGTGTTTGTCTGATGATTTTCAATCAGAATTTGCATATATGTGAAAAGAATAGAGAGTGAATGAGTAATGTTCATTGAGACATGTAGAAAAGTTATGAATGAGAGTTAATATCTTTACAGTGCAAGAGGTGTATCTCTTGCATTGTGAAGATATCTCTCATTGATAGTTTCTCTATTAATAAATGTGAATATTGATAATGAAGATAAATAGATTGATAGACAAATTGACAGATAGATGGAAGATGAATATTTAGATATATAGATGTATATGTATGTATAACTCCATGTACTTTCCATCCTAGGAAAGAGACAAATTCTCCCAGATGGTTTCCAAACACCAAAAGGAAATACAAGACCTCCAGGCACTGCTTTATGAGGAGAGTCAGGCAAAAGTGCGACTACAGATGGAAGCAGATGCCAAGGATTCGGAGATAGAATCCTTGACCTGTAAGCTGGCCAACGTCAATAGTGAGACAGCATCACTTAGTAGTGGTGCAGATAATGATTTAGATGAGATGGGTGAGTTTTGTTTATGTTGTTATTAATGGAATGTCACAAACTTAAGATCATATTGTTTCTCTAGCATCATTTTGATGGTATTATGTACATGTTACCTGATCTTCCAGTTATCTTGTTATTTGAATATTTTGTTTGAGCTTGCAAAGTCTTTTCATTTTTCTTCTTCTTCTTTGTTTTGTCCTGTTGTTTCTCTCTTCCATGAATACATATGCAGAGGACAAATTTTTAAAAGCTGGGGACATTTCCCCACAGTCTTGAGTGATAGACTTGATCATGTTCTTTTACAGAATCGAACAGGATCTAAAACTAGAGGAAATTGGTCCTATCCATTATTTATGCATACTTGAAGCTTATTATTTTCTGAGCTTGGTTACCATATTTTGCAGCATATTGAGATGCGCTTGCCTTTAAAAATTCACACTAAATTTAGGATGAAATGTTATGAAAAAATATAATTAAACAAAAGTGTTGATACCTTCCCTAAACCCCTTCTGAGGAATCTGTGCACTAGAGATTATTTTCTTTATGCATTACCTTAAATGCATTATTAACATTTTTGATCACAATATTTATTGTTAGCAAAGACATGCATCTCAACTCTGTTTTGTTTAAACTATTCACTTTATTAAGTTATAGTCCTGAAATTATTGATACCTATTCATCCTGAAATTATCTGGACTGCAGAACTTGGGCATTTATTACACTCTGGCCTCTCTGCATAAAATAGAAATATTTGGAGGGTCTGATTTCAGAAAAAGATTAAGAAAGAGAAAACTTATTTGCTGCAAGATATGATAAGTTAGAAAGCATTGCAACATGTTTGGAAGCGAACTTGGAGCATCAGAAAAATTAAAAGCTGAGGTGACCATTGCATGATGTGTTTGTTACAGACAACCGGCTGGAGGGCTGGCTCTCAGTGCCTAACAAACAGAATATCAAACGTCATGGATGGCGGAGACAGTACGTGGTCGTCTCATCCAGAAAGATCATCTTCTATAATTCAGAGAATGATAAGCAAAACTCAGATCCTATATTAATCCTAGACCTTACGTAAGTGTCTGTCTTTTTGTTTGTTTTTTATTTCTTTATTTCTTAATTATTTTTTCTTCTCATTTATGATTAGTTTTCTTTATATTCATTAATATTTATACTTCAGACATTATCTATAGGATATGTATACATACAAAACATATAGTTATTATATGTGTGGTATGTGTGTCTGTAGATAAGTAGGCAATTTGACAAGGAGTTTGAGTACACACAAATCCCTTGATAGCTATAGTTTTATAACTAGTATCAACATAACATAACCAGAACCAATGCTGTCATTACCAGTAAAGTATTTTCTGATCTCTTCTGTTTCAATACAGTTAAGCCATCTGGGTTCATCTGATTGACACATTTAGAAAAAGTATATCATAAAAAGATTAAGTGATGAAAGGGGTGAAAGGTATCTTCATTTGGCATTGTGTGATGTGCATAACTGGCCAAGCCTTTTTTTTTAATAGCATTTGGAAATATCATGTAAATGTGTATGTATTATATATTTATACGAGAGACTTCGGAATGGTTGGTTAAGTGAAAGAAATTCTGGATATGTGACATAGTGAAGAAGAGAGTAGTAAAGTTTGTTTATAGTTGTAAATGTGTGTTTAGCATTGTTCATATATTTACATTCTTTTGTTTTCAGTTATCATGTAATTCAGTGTTTTCATATGCTTCTCTAACACTTTATTTTATTTATTAATTTGTCTAATGTTTGTTCTGCCCTCTTAATGTAGTTTGGTTTGAACTTTCAGTTCTTTGTTGTTCTGGCTCTGTATGTTTTGCTTTGCAAAGTCAAATAGAAAATAAGTATGTGCAAGTATTGGACATGCATTATTGATGGTCTCTCTTTTTCTCTTACTTTGTCTTTTTATATTACTATCTATTATTTACTTTGTCTCCCTATCTCCTTCTCCCCCCTTCCTGTCTTCTCATCCATCTCACTCTCCTCTTTATCTCTCTCTTCAGTAGAGATTATCACTTGAGCAGTGATGGCTAAAATTATTGTTTAATTTCATTTTAATCACAGTAAGCTTTCAAATTGCTGATGTACTTCATTCATTGTATTTTGCCAACAGACAAAGATTTATAATGTAACATAATATATTCACTTTATCATTTTTATTTAAATTTTTACTTTGTAGATGTAATTAAACAGGGATTTTAAAACATTTGTATAGAATGTATGAATGCAGATTTCATTGATAGAATTTGAAATGAGAATGGTGATTGGCCTGTCACAACACCTGTTACTGTAAACAAAATGTTCACTGCACTCTGCCTGATCTTAAAATGTATTGCATATTAAAGATGAGTAGGAATTTTGACTACCGATCATCTAATTGGAACCAGAAACTGTTGCTGTATTGTGGTAAAGATATATCCATTTTTCAGCAGTATGGTGTTTCTATCTCAAGCATAATATTATGACTTTGTCAGTTAGCTTTAAAGTAGTTTGTTGTGAGCATTGTAGTTCAGGTTTGTTGATTTTTATTTTATGGAATATTTACAGCAACACCAAAAAAGTCCCCGAAGCTGTATTTATGAATGAACACAGATTGTATGAATTCACTTTTAGCATGATGTTCCCATTTTAATAGTATGTACAGAAATGATGACCTTGTTGATGGTCACATAATGGTAAAGCTGTTGTATAAGAGTGATGATGGTTCATAGCATAGTAAGAGCATATTGATTCTGACTCTAGCAGAAAGAAAAGTGTCACAGTCACACTGCTACACTGCTGACAGCTACTTGTAAGAGAAACTGCTAATAAGTTTTCTTCCAGAATTTTACTGGAATAAAAGGCAGTGCTACTGGATTTAGAATTCATATACATTATTTAGAAAACATTGCTTGTCTTTTCAGAAAGTGGTAAGTTGCTAATGCATGTTTCCCAGATGACTGAAAAAAAGTTTTCCAGCACAAGGACTGGAAACAACAGTCATGTGAAAGAGTGAGGCAATAATATTTGAAAGAGGAAAGTTTTAACTTATTTTCTCTTGTCAGGAAACTCTTCCACGTTCGTTCGGTCACACAAGGGGATGTTATTCGGGCAGATGCAAGAGATATTCCCAGAATATTTCAGGTATTTTCTTTTGGCTCTTTCTTTCTTTCATGAATTAAGATTAATAAAGTAAGGATCAATAATTAGACAGTATCACTTTAGAAATCTCTGAGTAGAGAGCTGATTCCAAATCTGAAGTTTGACAGGGAGTCAAGCATTCCACAAAAGCTTTGATAAAAATGGACAGTGGAAATTACAAGCCTTTTGAGAATGTGAATTGTTTAATTATTCTTGCACGCTAGCACTGATTTTATTTTTGCTCATTCTTATAATGAATAAGGCTGATGTACATGACCATTCTTAATGCATTATGATGCTCTTGTCCAAGCGTGAGCTTGCTCAACACATGGAAAATATACACCAGACATGAACACAGAATGCAACCAAAATACTGAACATGATTTGAGTAGAACTTAGTATTACTTCTTTTAATATATTGCAGCTTCTGTATGCTGGAGAGGGAGAGAGCCGTAAGCCTGGGGAGAACCCAGGTCCGTTGGCTCCCTATGACAGTGCAGGCCCTGATAAAGCAGGGACTCTAGTCCACAAGGGTCACGAGTTCCTGGCCATTAGCTTCCACATGCCTACAAATTGTGAGGTGTGTCAGCGGCATTTATGGCACATGTTCAAGCCGCCTCCAGCACTGGAGTGCAGACGTAAGTTGATTTTTAAGAGGGCTGTTCTTTGAATCCTTTTCTCATGTAGATAAGAAATGAGAAAAGTGTTTTGGTTTGTATTAGATTTTAAAGGATCTGTGGGTTTGTATATTTGATATTGATATCAATCTAGACAAAGACTATAGACAACTTATACTCCTAATCCAGTGATGTGTACATATATGCCATGTCTACTGTGAGTTTAGTCTGTTAATTGTTTTTACACTTAGCTCAACAAGGGATCAGATATGAAGGAGTCAGTTACTAGTACTGCCTATCTTACCTGCTTACCTTAACCCATCAC